ATATTCTGTACTCTGCCCTTGGGTTTTTACGTCCAAGATGCATTATCTTGCACTTATCCACATTAAATGTCAGTTGCCACAATTCTGACCATTTTTCTAGTTTACTTAAATCATTTGCCATTTGGCTTATCCCTCCTGGAACATCAACCCTGTTACATATCTTAGTATCATCAGCAAAAAGACATACCTTACCATCAAGACCTTCTGCAATATCACTAATAAAAATATTAAAAAGAATGGGTCCAAGTACAGATCCCTGAGGTACCCCACTGGTGACAAGTCCAAGCTTCGAATATATTCCATTAACTACAACCCTCTGTTGCCTGTCACTCAGCCACTGCCTTACCCATTCAACAATATTGGAATCCAAACTTAAAGATTGCAGTTTATTGATAAGCCTTCTATGTGCAACAATGTCAAAAGCCTTACTGAAATCTAGGTAAGCAATGTCTACTGCACCACCCTGATCTATAATTTTAGTTACCCAATCAAAAAAAATCAATAAGATTAGTTTGGCATGATCTCCCTGAAGTAAATCCATGTTGTCTCTGATCTTGAAATCCATGTGTTTTTAGATGTTCAACAATCCTATCCTTTAACATGGTTTCCATCACTTTCCCCACTACTGAAGTAAGGCTTACTGGCCTATAGTTGCCCGACTCCTCCCTATTACCTTTCTTGTAAATGGGCACAACATTCGCTAACTTCCAATCTTCTGGGACTACTCCTGTTAACAATGATTGGTTAAATAAATCTGTTAATGGTTTTGCTAGTACACCACTAAGCTCTTTTAATAGCTTTGGGTGTATTCTATCAGGTCCCATTGACTTATTTGTCTTTACTTTTGACAGTTGAAATAGAACCTCTTCCTCTGTAAACTCACATGTAATAAATTACTCATTTATCCTTTTTCTCAACTGAGGTCCCTTTCCTTCATTTTCATCTGTAAATACAGAACAAAAATATTCATTGAGGCAGTCAGCTAGACTTTATCCTCTTCTACATACCTTCCTTTTGTTTTTAATCTAACTAATCCTTGGTTTACTTTTCTTTTCTCATTTATGTATCTAAAAAATGTTTTGTCCACCTTTTTTACTGACTGTGCTATTTTCTCTCCTGTGTGTGATTTGGAAGCTCTTATAACTTGCTTAGCCTCTTTCTGCCTAATCTTATAGATCATTTTGTCTTCCTCACTCTGGGCTTTTTTATAATTCCTAAATGCTAACTTTTTGTTTTTAACTATTTTGGCCACATCTGCGGAGTACCACAGTGGTTTCTTGAATTTTTTGCTTTTACTGACAAGCCTAATGCAATTTTCTGTTGCCTTCAATAGTGCAACTTTTAAATAATCCCATTTTTCTTGGACTCCATTTAAATTGTTCCAGTCTGATAATGACTCCTCTACCCATATTCTAATTTTAGAAAAGTCTGTTTTTCTAAAGTCTAACACTTTTGTTTTTGTGTGGTGTGACTCAGTCACTGTTCTTATATTAAACCACACTGACTGATGATCACTGGATCCTAAACTTTCACCTACGTAATATCTGATACCAAATCTCCATTTGTTAACACTAAATCTAGTATGGCCTCTTTACGAGTTGGCTCTTCAACAACTTGTTTTAGAGACAATCCCAGTAGTGAGTTTAGAATATGTGTGCTCCTGGCACAAGTAGCTGATTTGTTTTCCAATTTACACCAGGAAGATTAAAGTCACCCATGATGATAACTTCCCCCTTCATTATCATTTTAGCTAGTTTTAACTAGTAGATTATCTAACTCTTCAATTTGTCCTGGGGGCCTATAAATCACACCTACACGAGTTACTGTGTAATTACCAAATTCAAACGTAACCCAAACGGACTCTATGTTTGTCTCACTAACTTTTATTAGGCTAGATTTTATGCTATCCTTCACATACAGGGCCACCCCTACCCCTTTCTTGCCTTCCCTATCTTTTCTATATAAAGAGTACCCTGGTATTGCTATGTCCCAGTCATTTTTCTCATTATACCATGTCTCAGTAACAGCGACTAAATCTACACTATCAGTTGCCATTATTGCCACATGTTCATGGATCTTTTTCCCTAAACTGCAAGCATTTGTAGACATGACTCTAAGCTTATCAGTTTTTTAACACACTTGCTACAGGCACCTTCTGTCCTTGTTTTGGGGGACAATTGGATTGATGTTTTATCACCCTTTTGCCCCCCCCCCCTCCTAGTTTAAATACTTCCTAGCAAAACCTCTGAACTGCTCACTGAGAACATTTGTTCCCTTTTGAGAAAAATGCAAACCATCTTTTTTGTACAGCTTATTTCCATTCCAAACAGAGCTACCATGAGAAATAAAGCCAAATCCTTGCTCCCGACACCATTCACCAAGCCACAAATTAAAGTCCCTAATACGCATCCGCCTGTCGTTCTGAGTGTTATGCACAGGCAGAACTTCAGAGAATGACAGTGTGGAAGCAACCTGCCGTATATCATTGGCAAAAACACTAAAAACTTCCTTAACCTCTGAAACCTCATTGCAAGCCAAGTCATTTGTCCCTAGATGGACAAGTACATCCAATTCCCCTTCCTGCTTTGCTTGCTTAACAATATTACAGATACGTCTCCTGTCTCTGTGAGCAGTAGCTCCGGGAAGACACCTCACAAGGCCACCATTGTCCATCTCCACACCTCTTATGATCGAATCCCCCAACACCAACTGCTTTCTATTAGGCCTCACCATAGTCTCCAAGCCGGTCTCCACAACACCACTAGCCTCAGTGCCTTTCTCCACAAAACCACTAGCCTCAGTGCCTCTCTCCACAACACCACTAGCCTCAGTGCCTCTCTCCACAACACCATTACACTCTGAAGAAAATGAATTATGTAGAGCAACAGACAGTGCAAAATGCCTTTTATCCACAACTCTAAGTCTACCAGATCCTACAGTAAGCCATCTGCCATTCCTAGTCTGTCTCTGCGGCAGTGGCTTTGCAGCAGTTCCAGTCTGAGTTTGTTCACCAGATAATTTACATATCTCAGACTTCAAAAATACAATCTCCTGCCGCAAGATAGAGAACTATCTACAGATTAGACAACAACCAAATCTCCAAAAAGTAGAACGTGAAACAAATGCATAGCAACTATTACACTGAACTAAGTCTGCCATTCCAATGAGGAAAATAATTTAACTCAAACTAATCTCAACTTTTTTTCTTTATCCTCCTGAATACCTCAGATTACTTCCAGTTTATCTCCAGAATATCTCCAATTACACATTTAGAAACAGCACTCTCCAGAATATCTCCAACTACACACTTAGAAACAGCACTCTCCAGAATATCTCCAACTACACACTTAGAAACAGCACTCTCCAGAATATCTCCAACTACACACTTAGAAACAGCACTCTCCAGAATATCTCCAACTACACACTTAGAAACAGCACTTAGAAGTAGCAACCAAGCTATATTAGCCAAGCTAATGACAACAAGCCTTATATAACTCCTAAAATCACCACCCACTAGGAATGTTTAACACCTGGGTAGGCCTCTGCTTATTTGCAAACAATAGCTAATTAACCAGCAATCAATAGCAAGTAACTAGCTTAATCAAATCAAATGCCTTATAATTACCAACAGGAATTCAAACCTTGTGCAATCAGTAACCTTTTCCTACAGATGAATCTTACCTGTAACAGTAGAAAAGAAAGCTCTTAGCACAACTCTTAGACAGTTGAAGCTTCTGTAAAACTCTCCAGAATATCTCCAACTACACACTAATGGCAATGGCAATGGCATCAAATGGTAAGTTTTATTTATTTTTTGCAGGTACTTAGCTAATGGTCCACCCCTCATTATTTTTAGGGTGAGGGGAGTAGGTAGGGGTAATTTTTTTGGGGGGAGGGGGGTGACTAGGTTTGGGGACCCCTAGTCACCTGGGGGGGATTTTTATTTATGGCCCTCACCCACCGCTCAGGGGTGGGGGTGGGGAGGGCGTTAGGTCCCCCCCCCAATTTTTATTTAAGGCCCCCACCCACCGCCCTATTGATATTTAGGGCCCCCACCCACCGCGCAGGGTGGTTGCCGGGGGGAGGACAGTAGGTCCCTCTTATTGTTATTTAGGTCCCCCACACACCGCTCAGGGGTGGGGGCTGGTGGGGGGACAGTAGGTCCCAACTTCAGTTTAAAAGCCCCCACTCGCGCATCGCGGGTGGGGGCTCAGGAGGGGGGAACTTTTTATTTTTTTTAACAATGAGCAGCCACAGGCTGCTCACTGTTTAATAGACATGCCCCTACTAGCTGGGTCACATGCTGCACTGGAAAATCACAGCCATGCCATTAGTAGGGGATGGTTGTGATGGCTTCTAAGGGCACGCAAGTCAAACGCTTGTTGATTGGCTGCCCTGCAGCCTTTCAAATGCGTCATTAAATCAGCGAACACCAAACTCCAACCCGAACATACAGTGATATGTCCAGGGTCCAAAAAAACATAATGTTCGGTACGAACCCAAACTTTTCAGTTAGGGTTCACTCAGCTCTAATAAATGATATGGAGTTTTATGCACTGTAATGTAAATTGCACCTTTGCACACTATAACACTTGCTGCACTTTAAAATAGGTTTTTGTCTTAAAGACACAGCGCACCTATATATTTTTCTTGTATTGATGAAAAATGGTCTGATGCTGCAGCACTTTCAAAAAGCAACTGAGACCCTTTCTCATCGGTGATGCTGGGAGGAATTGAGTTGAGATCACTTCCTCCCAGATACAAAAACAGCCGTACGGGAGAGAGATAAGGCACAAGAGAAGTGGGAGGAGTTATCCAAGAAAGAGGGGAAGATACCCAGCTCCAGACCCACAATTCTATCATATTGAGCCAGCAGCAGGACCCCAGGCAAGCCACTCTCCTGCATGTAAAAGGTATGTTAACAGGAGTGTGATTCTGAGATAAATTTGTATATGTTTCTATGTGTCAGTGTGTTTGTATGCGTCAATGTCTGTATCTGTGTGTCAAGTGGTTTGTATGCATCAGTGTGTGTATCTGTATGTCAGGGTGTTTGTATGTGGCAGTGTGGATATCTGTGTGTCAGAGTGTGTATTTTAGTGTGTATTTGAATGTGTGTGTGTTAGTGCGTTTATCTATGTAAGTATGTATGTAAATGGCAGTGTATGTGTGTATGTGTGTATATGTATACGTCCAAGTAATCAAACACCAACACAAAATGCAAACACACACCTGCAAATGAAAACATTACATACAAACACGCCAATGCATTAAAACACCAAAATTTTATGCAAACACCCCTTTATTCACATACCAACAGTACACACAAATGTACACCTGCATTTAAAATTCAACACTACATACAAACACACCACAGCATTCACACGCAAACACTACACACAAGTACACCACCGCATTCCAATGGCAACAATTACACCATTACATGCACACATATACTCCATGCAAAAAACATGCATACATTTAAACATTAGTCACAAATGAAACCCTGCAAGGATAGACAAACGGTAGATCTCCTGCTGGCATAGCATTCTGAGAGTTGTACGACAGATGGCCACCCTTTCGCTTTTTTTGGCCAGCCTTACGCTTTAGGGGAGCCCAAAAAAATTTCTTGCACCAGGGCTCTCTCTACATATGTTCCCATTTCGTTTGTAATTGGTGTTCATAGTATGTTTTGACCCTGTGGCATACAGGGATGGCACTGTGGGGTGCGCTGCCACTGTTTGGGAGAGTGATATTATCTAAAGATCTTCTCACTAGCTTTCTGCCCTCCCAACTGCGAGGGAACTGAAGGTATGCACCTCCTCCTTGATCACTGCCAATACATCCTCGTGATCAAAGACTGGAAGAGAGTATTAATAGGGGTCTGCATGAGACGAAGGTGTTAACCAGCAGCACTGGACCACCAGGGACAGATCTTGCAGACCCACTGTACCAATAGGCACCCTCTCTGGACAACCAGGGAACATAGCCCTCTCCCTACTTAAAAAGTACTTAAGATGGGGGGACTACAATAAAACACATTTATATTTATACTTTTGGGGAGGTTGGACATGTAAACACAACTTCCCCATACACAGTCACTCTCCACACTTACCTCATCACCCATACAAACAGTCAGCCCATCAAATATAAACAGTCATCCTGATTCACACACAGTCAACCTCATACATACAGTCACCCCCATACATATACAGTCACCCTCTGACACACAGAACCACACACAACTCACAGCTGTGCCACAATCACTACACACACATCAATACCACAAGCAGCCCCTCAAGGGGTGAGTGGGTTGTCAAATGCCCATGACCTTTAAGTTTTAATTTGAAGACGAAAGTAGAAGAAAGTGTTCCTGCACATCCAGTCTGTGGCATCAGTGACTGTTCTTCAATCTATTAAAAAGAAACTGTGCCATATCAGCTTCCCACAACTGCATCTGCAGAGGCAGCAGGTATAGTCACATCACACAGACTCAGCCAGGCAGGTCATAAAACAAACCATTACAAGGAAAGGCATTTGAATACATTAATTTGATTTTGCTGAATGTTATCTCATTAAAAAATAAATTTTGCTCAGTATATGCTAGAGACATAGCATTACATCCTCTAATTCCTCTAGGAGGACAAGCTGTGTGTATGATTCCTCTACAGGCATTTTCTTGAAAGTGGGGGTGAAGTTTGGTTGACTTGTGATTATTTGGCTGGACTAACCAGTCTCACTACATACTACGTAACATAAAGGCTCAATAAAACAGATCTTTTATCTTTAAATGGTAATCAGGTTGTGGTGATCCTTGGAACATAATCAGTTTAAACAAATGTTCTGTGGTGTGAATAACTAATGTCATGTTTCCCATCACAATCAACCTATTTTGAGTCCTCATTCCAGTTTATTCTTTTATCAGATCCCCTATCACCTCCCTCTCTCATCTTGGAGAACCCAGTGCAAAAGGTTGGAAATCATTTTCAGGTGACATTGAACTGTTCAGTACCCGACTCTAACCTTAACAGAACCTTCCACTACTTCAGGATAAATGCAGAAAATGACAACAGAAATGCAACTGGTGTGTCTGTCTCCATCGTTTGGCAGTTGGAGTCTATTGATAATGTTGTCTTCTACTGTGAATATGAAGAAGACATACATGGAAGAAACGTCAAATCTGGGAAGAGCAAGTATCTCCCTGTTACACTCAAAGGTAAATAATTTACCTATGTAAACTAATATCAACTATGTTGTCTAATATCCACTTCTAAGCTATCTGTTTGCCTGCATCATTTATCTTCATTCTTTGTATCTTTATCAACCACTAAGGAGTTAGTTTGATTTTGATTTTTTGTTTGATTTTTCACATATTTCCTCTATGTCCTTCTAAAAGCAAAATGCTTTATATTTTCGGCATTTTGGTGGAGAAAGTGTAATGTAACCCATTCCAATAGAGAAAGGTTGAAAGATGAGAAAAAAAACACCCAATAAGGACAAAACCACTCCTAATAGGCTACAGCATACCATTTCAACCAACATTTCAACTGGACTACAAAAGGGCACTTTAGTGTTGTGAGTGGGGAGTGTGGATAGGGGCGGGGCTGATCTGAGATATTTTAGTGGACTTACTAATAATTTATGCAACTCAAATGTAATTTAAAAAAAAATATTATTATAATAGCACAGACTGCAATAGTCCTTACTGGTTAAATTATTCATTTTAGACAATAATACGGTTTTGGATATTGGTTTTTATTGACCTATTTTCCACTGCTGCTTTTGTTCATTTTTAAATATAAATACGTGTTTTTTCTGTCTATATTTCATAAATTGTCAATGTTAGATCTTTATTTTGTTCATTTTTCTGTTTTTGCTATGAAGAAAGACATTTCACTAATTCTAATCTGAACATTTGTGTTTTCCATGCCATTATATTTTACAGAATCCTCTTTCTTTTCTTCGCCTGTGATTGCTGGTATTATTGGACTTCTAGCTCTTATCATCTGCCTGACTTTAATACTTTGGTTCTATATAAGGAATAAAAAATGTAAGTGTGCATAGGAACAGATAGATAAGCAAGATCAAAACACATGTAACCAAGGTCAAAACTGTCACGATTACTGTGACCCAACACGCAAAACTATATTAACACAAACAACGTATACCGGACCTTAGCATGGCCGGACTTAATGTAAAAGAGAATGATCAACTAACAAGCCAAGGTCAGAATGAGACAATATGAATGAACTAGCCAAGGGTCAGGATACCAGAAGTAGGGAAAGTCAAAAACATAAGTCAAAGTCAAAAACCCGAATATATACCAAGAACGCGCTCTCTGACAACCAACAAGTGGAAACCCCCGACAGGGCACTGAGAAAAGGCATTACAGGGTTTAAATATGCCGCTCAGTGCTGTGATTAGTTAGTACATGGCCTTTGACCCCAAAAGGTGTGTGTGCGTCAATATCGTGACATCACACGCACACCGGCGCCATCTTTAATGTGGGCGGTGTGCCCTTTAACAGTAAGAATGGCACAGCTGCAGCCGGCGTCCTAAAAACCGCCCCACCAGTCTTGTGGGAGGATCTCCGCCACGATCCAGGTAAGCTAAACTCTCCCTTTTCGGTGCGATCGCCCTGCTCATGTGCGGCCGCATTGATCAAGGACTTCCTTTTATCTGAAGTATTGTCAATACAATCCCCCTGTGCGGTAACCAAAATTTGCTTAAGTTTCAAAACAAAAAAATTTAAATGGATCATATCCAAAAAGGCTGCAGTCAGAGTCCTCAAGCTCATATTACACGTCTGAGTATATAGATAAATCTGAAGTTCCTGATCCACTAAAGTTACCAAGTTCCCTTTGGATGTATGCATACAGCTCAAGTGTGGATGCAATATATCATTCCTTTAGTGAAGATTCAATGGCTGAGCACACTGAATGGAATGGTAGAATGAATGTTATTAATTATAGGAGCATACCATAAGGTTTAATTAATCAAACATCAAGTTTGTCTTATATGCATTCCATAATAAACGTCTACTTTTTTTTAAGAGTTACTTAATAACCAGGGGTGAGCCTGATGTGGCCCTTCTACCCTTCCTTCACTACATGAAAATAAACTGCAGTCTGGGTATAAATATAATTCCCTAAAAGCAGTGAAGGTTGGCGTAGGCATGACACAAAGTCTAGAATTCACCCTTTTCAAAGTTGACGGTTTACTGTTCAGCAGATGGGATCAGCAACAGGGGAGACCATAGGATCACCATTTGATTACAATAATCACTGCCTTCCACAACATGTGAGAATTTGAAAAGACAGATGCACAGTTCCTCGTGTTAAAAAGATTCCCTGTAACATAAGATGGGATGCTGGAAGAATGAGGGGCATAAAGTACACACTTGTTTACTAAGAGATGATCTCATAGAACTCCTATTATTGGATTAGAAAATGTTATTTACATGGTATTCTTTACCATAATTGCAAGGATGATGGGGAGAAATGGCTCAGAAGCTTGTGACTCCATCTAGCTATTACTAGGGTCTTCAAGATTCCTGCAGGTTATTTTACATTTTTACCTAACACATGGGTTAAAAAAAAAAAAAAAAACAGTTATAATCCTTTCTCTGTTAATATTCCTGTCCTGGATATTGCTGCTAGGGTTTTCTTTTACACAGATTGTGGAGATTTATAAAGGCAAAATAGATGTTATTCTGGGGCAAAGTTATCACTATGGAAACTCTTTTTTTTTTTTTTTTTACCTAATGCATACATCTCTCACGTTATTTATTGTTGCACCACCTTACATGTTTGCATCCTACAAATTTGTAAACTGAATTCCTGAAATCTAGCCCTGAAATAGAAGTGTCTGGTGGGGAAAACTAGCCCTTCCCCTCGAATATTTAAAGTAGTCCATTGAATGTGAGTCCACTGGGAGCACAGGGGCGCTATAGGATTGGGCCATTTTTTAACAACTGGACAACTATTAACTACCAATGGTTTATTTGCCGGATGGCTGCTAGTGCTGCAGCGGGCAAATAATTCTTCCAATTATTATTCATGTGCAAAAAACAAGTAAATGGTAATTTTGTGAATGTATCCTACTGGATGCATTTTGTTTATCTTCATGTGCTATTAATTGGTTTGAAAGCGAATATTTGTGATTTTGACAAATACTTCCAAGCTTATTTTACAGAATTGGTTGGACCAACTAAATCCTGACTGCATTTGGCTTTATTAAATATGCAAATTACCAATGTGGTTGGGATTCAGTCATAAACTAACAACAGTGTGGCTGTTCTGTGGGCCCTATAGTTAATGCACGTATGAGAATTTGCCTATGCGTTTATCATGTAGTAGTATAAATAAAGCAGCCACTGTATGGGGACTTTTTAACTTGCAAAGACCCCTGACGATGACACCATTGATGGGGGTGCAGTGGCCTGCAGGGCAGGCAAAGGTGAGTTTAGCTTACCTGAACCTATCCCTCGTGGTCACCGCTGTAACCATCCAGCTTGTACACTTCTTCTCCTGGCATTTCATTTGCCAGGAGCTAACCTCAATGCTGTACTCTTGTACAGACAGAGAAGTCTATGGAGGAGCTCATGAGACAACAATAGATAGATAACAATAGATAGAGCCATTCCCTGCAGCTGACACTTCTTCCAACACAGTCAATGTGAGTGTTTCATAAATAAAATACTTTTTGCAAAGGGAGGGGGTGGGGGTGGCACTGCTGTTTTAAGATTGATAACCACTGGATTTTGGAATTAGTAACAACTCCAAAAATATTTAAAGAATTAGAACGTGTTCCTTTGCTGTAAATCCCTGGAAATTAATATAGTTTTATCTTCAATGCAGACAACAGAAGACAAACATTCCGTCTGAGGTATGTAAAATTCTAATTTACTGGAGATTATCTAGGTAATTTAGAAGCTTTTATTGGGCAAAGTTCTAAATGTGGGGCTGATACCACAGATTTTAATAGGATGTTCCTGCTTATTGTTCTACTATATGACTTGAGAATGAATCATAACCCCTCAGCTTGCTTCCTACAATATTTAATGTAACATGCCCTTTTGAGGTTAACATGCATTCTAGAGTACCGATGTGCTATGTTTATATCCTGTGAATACTGATGTGGTCTGGCTTCCTAATCATGATGTCGATATCTTGTTGCCCGGGCATTGCTTTGATACATATTGTATGTAATGTTAGTTATTAAAGCCAGTGCTTGGTTACCACCTGTATTGACCTCATACATTGTGATTACTGGGAAGCAATTCATTGTGTATATTACAATTTAAATGACTTGCTCGACCCCTAAATAAAATTATTTATTATAAAAAATATTTTCCTATTTTCCCTAAGATTCTTATACACCCTTATACAAACACATATAAAAGTGAGAAAGTATAGAATCCCACTTAGGGAGACTAAAAAGGGAGCTCCGACCAAAACAGAAGAGGGTAGAAGACCCTACCTTAAATAAATCTAAGGATATGTGTAAATACTAGCAGTAAAAGATTGCAATAAAAGGAAGACAGAGGGAGATAGAAATGGTGCTAAGGGGGTAAAGCAATCTAAATTCCAGAAATAGGGGACCAGAGGAGAGATACAAAGAACCTCCACAATGTAATATAATAATGTTATTATTATAATTTAAAAAGCACCTAATACTCCCTAGCATCCGGCTGAGTGGGTAGGTAGGTGCAGAACAGTAAAGAGGTAAAGGGAGGTAATTTAAAAAAAAAGTGTTTAAGAGGTCAGCCTCAATAAATAAAAGCCTCAATGGTCTCTGTCTTTTGGTTACCTTGGCACCGTGGTACTGCTACACTATACACAGGTTCTGTGCTCTGTTCTCTGATACGTTACGCTTAATATTTGCTTCTTCATTGCTCAATAAAAACTCTTTTGTTCTCTAATAATATGACAATCTGCAAGTTTAATTATTGTGCTGTTTTCTGAATCTATATGATTTTATTGTCTATACATAGCTGGTACTGGAAGGAAAGCAAGTTGCCAAAGAAGACTTCTTCTCCATGGTACGTTGCAAACACATACTAAATTAATCAAAATTATCACAAAGTTACCATGACAATAAATAAATACAATATGGATTTCTAGGGTACAAAGTAACAAGATCCTCCAGACTTTATTAGCAAAGTTCATGATGACTTGTATGGGTTGTATGCATAAGCAGAGTCACGGTTGTGGGCTGAATGTGTCATCAAGTGACACACATGGTTATTCAGTAAAGTGTGAATTGTTATGTACAAATATGAGGTGTAAGTAAAAAAAACTCAATTTGTAGATTTTTTTGTAGCAAGAGACCTATAACAGGTTAAGCTTACTTGTCTTATTAGACAGTATAAGTCAAGATTCCTTTAGGCAGGGCATCATAGACAAGGGAAGTGTTAGGTAAGTGTGAAATTAGTGAACATGCTAGTCAAACCAATACGTTTCACATAAAAAGAAAAAACACAATGTTTAGCTTGAAGTGAAGACCACTGGTTCCTGGGATGCTAGGACATTACTGCATTCAACACAACAGAAAAATGCGATATAATAATGAAAAAAAATTAGATGCTCTCAACAGATTTAGGCATTCCTTAGTTGGGAGGGCTGAAATAAAGTAACATAGCCGATTTAATGACAAATGTGTACATCATCAGACTGCAAAAACAGATATAGAAATGTAGTGTGTTAGTCTGGAAATTACAAGGGGGTCTGGAAACCCTGACGCTTCCATGGACATATGCACTATCACGTTTCTGCTTTCCTTTGTCTCTGTAATCGGCTGCTGGGAATACTCAAAGACGTCACACCATTTCAGATGGATTATCAAAAAGCATTACAAAGTTTTAATGCGTAGAACATTGTATAAATAAAACACAGTTTGTCTATGGGTGTATACACTAACGGCAACATTAACCAATCATAGGAGTCTCAGAACAGAAAGTATAATTTTTCATAATCCTGTTAGTTTATTTTTTGTTAATGAATACAAGTGACAGTATGAGATTAAAAACCTAGCTACAATTTGCGGGTGCTAGAAAGACTGCTATTTTTGTGCAGAATGTTTATAACAGATAGCAGAAGCTGGTGTCAGGCTCAAGGACACAAGAACAGAACAATATTGTATATTTAACAAATGCGAGTTTAACCCTTTCAAAGCATGAGTATCTTGTATTATAATTAGGCCATTTGGTCTTTCAAGCTATGTATACAGTAATACTTTAGCTACAAAATAAGAAATACAGAAGTAGAAAGCAGGACATGAGATTGTCATCCTGTACATTAAATATATATGTAGCTCTGTGTGGTTTCTCTAGGGGAATATTCACTAAGCATTGCAAAGGTAAAAAAAAAATGTTTCCATCATAGTGGTTTTGGTGTTTATTGTCCTTTTAATTGAGTGAAATATTAGGTAAAGGTATAATTAACTTTTAGAAACCACATTATTTTAATATTCCTTAGTAAGTTAACAATAGAGAGTCAATGCTTATTAATGCTCTCAAAAGTGACCTCATTTGCTGGTGATATTAAACTTTCAGTTATTACATTTTGACTTTATGGCCCAATTTAAAACAGTTTATAAATGTTAAATTCATTATTATAGAGTCTGCCACCACTTACCTTTGTTCTTGAGGTGAATACACCTTATCTCAATGTATCCTTCCTGTTCAAATATTTTATAAATATCTGTTTCAGCCAACTAAGCAAACTTAGAGAAGAGCCCCTTGAAGATAATGGAATCTCTAAACGAAGTAAGTTAGAATCAGATCAACTTTTAGCAGCAAATTGCTGCTAAGTCTGTGAAGTTATAACCAGTTTCTTAAATATCAAAAAAGAAAGTTTTCAGAATCGTTTCACCAATTTCAGCCTCATTGTATCTATTTGATAGTCATAAAACAAAATAATATATATACTTTTGTCACGGGTTGCAGGGTCTCTTAGTGTCCCTTGGTCGCCACTTCTCTTATCCTCCGATGGTCCTGGATTCAGCTACAGCATACTGTGATTCTAGCCCTCTGGAACCTTGTAAAATTCCCAGCTATATAGGGGACAAGACCAGTCGTATTGGGTAAAACATGAGAACTGTTTATTTCAGAGAAAAACACATGCATTTATCCCTCTACACACAACAGTGGGTCTCCATACAATTACACACAAACTCCACCCCTGTGCCGGGAAGATAACTGAGTCAGGAACTGTACAAACTCAATTATCTCCCGGGTGCAGAAAAGCATACAATTTTACATATCACAAAATACATGACAACAGCATCGGAACCCCACAAAAATATATTCCTGAATAGCCCCGATCTGAACGCACAACCTATCCAAAGAGCGCTCAGAACGGTTCGGTAAAACAAAAGTTATGTTCGTGCATAAATGAACTGGCTGCCTGGTAGAGGTGGTATTGTCAATTTCAAAAGAGGTTAATTCGATTGTATGGGATGTGAGAGCTTACAACCTAAATTCCTCTGAAGCTACTCTGTAAGGTGTGAGAAGTCACACATAAGTGGCCTGGAAGTGTAGTTTCATTTGCCATATGTCTTGATTCCCTCCCAGATAAGGAGTCCTTTGATATGAACAAACCCTGTATTCCAATATTATACCCTATAAGAGACATTGATACCCATCCACAGATTAATACTCAAGCCTGCCTCATTTTTATCATATTTAGAATGGGACAAGCACAATCTTCCAATCAAGTCTAAACATGATAACTTAAATTCCTGCTGGACACCAAGACGCATAGCACAATAGCTTTTACATAATAGAATTAAGACTATAACTTTCATCCAGCTCAACATTTTACATAATAACTCAACATTAACACAATGTAATCCCATATCCTATATATCATTTTAAACTCTGTGACCAGGCGCAGAGTCTGTGGTCAGGAGGCTAGCTGTTATGCCCCTCCAGCAGGCTGTGGCACGGGATAACTGATTCAGATAACTGATGAAATTAAACTCTGATCGCAATGTACAGTAAGCCGATTATTTATCAAAATGTTAAATTTAAAAAAACAGATAACTTGTAAGTTTCAGAAGGCAGAGAATTATTATTATTTTATTTTTTATATAGCGCCATCAGATTCCGTAGCGCTGTACAAAGGGTGGACTAACAGACATTTAATTGTAACCAGACAACTTGATGTACAGGAACAGAGAGGTGGAGGGCCCTGCTCAATGAGCCTACATTCTAGAGGGAGTGGGGTATAGTGACACAACGGGTAAAAGTATGGGTACGAAGTAAGATGTTCCGTGAATGTGGTTTGTTCTATTTCTAGATCATGGTCCTCA